GCGAGAATGAAGAACTTCAGGTGATGAGGGTCAAGTGTTACAGATGGAGATTAACAGCAACCTACTAACAATAATTTAGGGTATCTAATCAGAAAACAAGTAGCAATCACCAGATGTCGCTAAGTTATGTAGTGCATATCAATGATAGTATGAACACAACAAAAGAATGATAATAAGTAATGGTTCCACTGGTTGTATATTCCAGCCAAATCTTCTTTGTTGCACAAGATCAGATATGCTAACATCAAAGCCCAGAAACAGAAGGCTGAGTACAACAATTTGATGGGTCCAGTTTAACTGCCAGTCCACAAAAGAAAGTATCCATTTTGAGACCACATCGTACCTACCCCATAAGGCATAAAAAGGAGCTCAGATATTAATCAATATATAGCAGTTGAATTCGGCCCTGGCCAGAGCGTTTCAGACAATCAAAACAGAAACAACTGAATCTACACAAATGATGAACAAATTAATCATCAGTGGTTTGCACCAGTATCGTTTTGCTCTCCGGAGTCTGGAATGTTTACCGCCCTTCAATAAGAGCACGGCAAAGAAGGAAAACAAGGTAGTAGTTGGAAAGAAAGGAATGTATAGAATAACACATCTGACGCACAAAAAACAATCAGGTGGTTTGGAATATGTTCTATAAATAAAGAATGGAACGCAACCTAGGATAAACTACATGACACATTCAATGGAGCAACTGCTGATGCAACAAAGACAAAACATATGGAAGTCGGAATAGAGGTGCATATAGTTCTTTCCAAGTGCACTAAGAAAACAAACAGATAGTTATTCTTTTGTTAGAAATGAATTGAATTTTTTATGTCACATCTTTGTATATTTTTTCAAAACTACCCAAAGAACATTTTTTGCATTTGTCTTGGTCTAAAGAACTTCCATGGATAAGAGGCTACAAATTAAAGGCAAAAGCATATCTATTGTTGGCTATCATATGCAGATTGAGAATAAATTTTATGACTGTCATGACACCATGCCTGAGCCTAATAAAGACTGCAATATGGACAATGATGCGCATAATAAGTCCAATCTGCTTGCATGACACTATGCACCTAATTCTAATATAAACCGCAATTTGGCTAAGGAAAAACAAAATATCAGTCCAATCAGATAGTGAGCCACTCGAGGAAAAAAAAAGATCTTACATAAAAAAGGGGCAGAAAGGGATACACAACAGCAATCCACTTTAGACGCCCTTGTAGGTGCATAAGGAATGTACCAAAACAATAACTGAAAAGGAAAAATAAATGTCTAATATACATACGCTAGAAGGAATCAAGGAACAAGGAGGGTAAGACCGAAAAGTAGTTAGTGAATGGTAATGTGTAGCTCAACATATTATTTTACACCAACAGGCATAGAGACTGTTTTCTGAATGAAAACGTTACCAAGATAGGCATCTGCGTCTTTTGGAAAGCAATAGATTCAAAAGAATAAAGAGGAGCATGCATATTTATTTTAATATATTCTTTAAATGGGTTGTCCAGGAGCACTCGGCGAGTCTCTATTGGTACTCACTCTCCAAATAACTCCCTTCCCCTCGCACCCTATTACATCAGTCTTGCTTCGTTCTGCAGAATGCGGCTAGTGTCAGAAATATATTGGAAGCTATAGATTTTCATTTTCTACCATGTCAGACACTCCAAGAAGGAGCAACGATTAGGTCAATAAAATCATAGTGGAACCCACTGTTGTGATGAATAGGATGATGATATGTGCCCATCAAATTTATCTTACTTTATAGAACACATAAAGTATTTCCTCATCATAGCTATCGTGGATGAATGTATGACATGCTTATCTTTGTAATTTGCAACTATGCTGAACTTATTCTACATTACGACCACAACGCTGACACGAGAGTATATCCCCATGAAATTCCTGTCAGTATAGACAAACTACAACAATCAATAGTACGATCACACGTGGCGATGGCTCTTATCGTATATCCTCATCTACAATAACACCCCAAAAAACATGAACATTTCTAATATAAGAATAACTAATCGCAATTTGGAGCAACGAAAATACTTTTTGTGGCCAGTAAGAATCGATTCCCCATTTCACAAACTGATTACACTCTAGAGTAAATGCCTGTGAACTATTTTTATTTAGTACTCCCTCCGTCCCAAAATAAGTGTCTCAACTTTGTACTAACTTTAGTACAAAATTGTACTAAGGTTAAGACACTTATTTTGAAACAGGGGGAGTATTAGGCATTAAAATACGATTGCACAGTCATGCTACAAATGAAAAATGCGTCAAATCTAGTGATCATAGTCCAGCATAGAATTAAACATGTTTAAAGCAAGTGGGATAGTAAATAAGCAGTACATGGGTGGCTGGGTGCTGATACCCAAATTACATAAGGAGCAAGGGGTCAGTACTATAATCCGCTTGATCAAATTTATTAATTAATTATACATTTTCAGCTGCAGAAGAAGAGGAAAACATGGATTCAGCATCTTTGATGTGTGTTTCTGGTTCAAAGTAGAGGCAGCGAAACCAGCGACAAATAATCAGATGACAGAGCTCATATACTTATAAATAGCTTCGTTAGTTACCTACATACCAATAACTTGCTACTCCAATCATGTCAAGTGCATGATTCTAAGCCAAGTACAATGGTAGGACGAAAATAGCATAAGCAAAGCTGCTCTCCTTGTGAATATATTCCTAGTTGAAATGAAACTGTATCTAGTGACCACCCCTCAGAGCAAGCACAAGATGGAGCACTGAACCACCTTCAATGTTGTAATCTTTAGCAGTTTTATCGTCAGCAAGTTGCTTTCCAGCATAAATGAGCCTGCAAAAGCAACAGTCAGAGTAAGGATGACGTGCTAGTAAACATTACAGGATTTCAAGTCTAAACTCGGGTTGAAACAGGGCAGTGTTATGACTAGGATAGGATGCCCAACAATATAATTAGTTCGACAAGAAATTTCCCTCAATTAATGTACAGATGTTCTCAACCATTAAAGTCGGCAAGCTAAAAAAGGTTACGGATAACCTAGTCCTGTTTTGAAGATTATTAGTATCAGAGAAAGGACTGCTTCGAAGTCAGGTTTAGTTGAATATACTCATAGAGTCATAGGCCCAAAAGCATAGCAAGATCAAATCATAACAGACTGAAGAAATAATCCACGTTACCAAGATTTTAGGGATGCTAATAACTGCTATATTTTTTTATCATGGCAAGGGAAAAATTGACACAAAGGCATGCTCACTCTTTGCACGGATTTGTTGGGACTCCGATTCTAAGGCACATAGATCTAGCTCCATCAAACCATATTAAGTACCCTGAGACTCACGCATGGTCCAGGGTCGTCCGGGGCGAAGAGGAGGCAAGCAGGAAGGGTGGAAGTGGCCGACGCATGCGCGCGCGCGGGACACACACCCACATTCTCCTGACACGGTGGGGAAGAAGACTCCCCTGCCCCTGGTGGGCTAGGCTGGCCAGGTGGGCTGTGCAGGTGAGCACTCTCTCTGTGACTGCTTTTCCTATTTTGTTTCTGTTCTCTATTTTTCTTTTCTATGCTGATTTAGTCCTGGCACTAAATCATTTTTGTAAATTCTGAAAATAATTGTGCGCATCAACTGAGATATTCCAGAGGCCCTCAAACAATTTCAGAATTATTGGAGCTATAATTTATATATATATGTGTGTGTGTGTGTGTGTGTGTGTGTGTGTGTGTGTGTGTGTGTGTAATAACTCCAATTCAAATAATTGTTGAGTTAATTCAAAGCCCACTTATGCCATGGAAAAATGTGCATCATCAATGGTTGAGGTTTTCACCTTTTGTAGGGCATTTTGGGTTCATTGAAAATTATTTAAAGTTGAACCTATTTGAATTAATTTGGTGCTAGGGTTTGATCATCCCCAGTTCAAATGTATTTGGAATTTAAACGTGATGCAAGCAAGGAGAGCTAGCCTAGTGCATTACCAAACTAGGGATGTGACAGGATTTAAGAGGGTAACTGAAGTATGACACAAAGCAATTGCTACTAGGTAAGTCGAGGAGCTAAAGACCAAGCAACCACTAATAATGCATAAACACCAAGTTCAAGGCATAAGAAGCATACCTCTGCTGAACAGGGGGGATGCCCTCTTTTTCCTCGACGCGCTCCTTGATCCTATCAATTGTGTCGGTAGGCTCGATGTCGATCTCGATCTCCTTACCAGTGAGTGTCTTCACCTTGATCATAGTCCCACCCCTGAGCCTCAGGACCAAATGAAGTGTTGACTCTTTTTGAATGTTGTAGTCAGCTAATGTCCGTCCATCTTCCAGCTGCTTTCCAGCAAAAATTAACCTTTGCTGGTCTGGCGGGATGCCTTCCTTGTCCTGCATCAATGATAAATCTACCTAAGTAAGCGATCAATATTCTCGGTACAAATCTAAACATGAATAGGCCAACAATTCCACCGAGTATTACTACGCAGTCTGCTCACTGGATAGAGTTTTGGAAATTGCTACAGAGGCCAGAACTACGAGGGGCGCAGGTCAAAGGGGCAAGACTACTGCTGCAGGTGGTAGCTGGCACTTTCAGTAGGAGAAGATGCTGGGCGCCAATGGTCCTCAGAAATCAGAATTGCTGGATGATTGCAGGAAACAGGAACTTTTGGAGTCATGGTAGACGTTATGTGGTGGTTTTGGTCGCAAGTGATCGTTCTGCAGGCAGTGGCTGTAGCTGTAATTTGTTTTCTATTTTGTGATGTGTTGTCGGCTGTGCAACCTGTTATAGGATCCTGGTGGTTCTGCTGGTTAGATGTTTTTGCTGTAAGGAGGTCGTTTGTGGACCTGGGTTGTGACGCTGGGGCTTGTGCTTCAGCGGACACCACGTGAATGCTTGTGTTATCAGTTTTCAGAAAATGAAAATTTGGGGGAAACCCCTTAATTCTCGAAAAAAAATTGTCCAACAATGTCTCTTATAACTATAATCAGGGAAGAAACTGTTCATACAATAACATACACCCTCTATCCACTAATGTAAGGCGTTTTGGCAGTCCAAACCAAAACGCCTTACATTAGTGAACAGAGGTACCTTATAAGTGTTGATGCCACGCAGAACTAAAACTATGAGGAAACTGCAAGTAGATGGGCAATACGCGCAGAACTCGGTAGGGGACTGAAACGGATACAGGGCCATCGTCTCGTCTCGCGCGGGACGACGCGCGCGAGCCCGCGAGACGGGGAAAAGAAGGGGAGGACTGACCTGGATCTTGGCCTTGACATTGTCGACGGTGTCGCTGCTCTCCACCTCGAGCGTGATCGTCTTCCCCGTCAGCGTCGTCACGAAGATCTGCATCTCCTCCCCAGTCCCCTCTCCCTCCGCCTCCGAGGTTTTTCGGCTCCTCTCTCCCTCCGCGGCGGCCGGTGTGTGAGAGGAAAAGCGGAGGGAAGGGTAGGGAAGGGCCGAAGTGGACGGGATACACAGAACTGGGCTGTTAACTATTCAGCCCATGAGGAGTAGCAGCCCACGTAGAGATTGTTCGGCAGTTTTTTTTGAGACCTTTGAGAGCGCGGCGACTATTAGGCCTTCTTTGGTTCATAGGATAGGAATTTTATAGGAATATATGAAAATCATAGGAAGTGAGATGACATGCATGTCAATTCCTATAGAGAAAGAGATGTCATTTGGTGCATAGGATAGGATTTTTTTCATTGAATCTAGGCTAATGTTTTTTTCCTCCAAAACGTGAAGGATTGATTCCTATCGTACATAGGAATAGGAATCCATTCCTACAAACCAAAAGGCTTCAAAGGAATTATTATTTTTTGCAAATCCTATCCTATAGAATTCCTACAAAAATTCTACAAAGCAAAAGGGGCCTATAATTGGTTCCCCTCAAAATTAGTATAATTGGTTTGATGCTAAAAATTGGCATGCCAAATTTTGGCAAGTGCCAAATATTGGCTAGAGATTGGTTGTTTGCTAATCTTCATTGTCAATCTCACAAAAAATTGCCAAATATTGGCAACTTTTGATTTTGACAAATGTTGACTTGCCAAATATTGACAATACCAAATGTTGGTATCAAATCAATTATGCTCTATATCTCACTTTCAGAGAGACAGTAGGATGTCTCGCTCAAGGGCTACAGCAGTTGGGCTGGCCCATTATGCGCACTATATCTATATCTATATCTATCTATATCTTCTATACCTACTATTAAAGGAAATAGATATTCTTAATTTGGTTTAGTCCTTTACGTTTGATTTACACACATTAAGCGATCTGGGCCAGTTACTTGTATGTTGATGGGCCTTTTATGGGCTTTCATAGAGAGACCACGAAAAATAATTGGGTCAAAATAAATCAACATTGTGGGAATTGAACACAAGACCTCCTATCTATCTCTTAAATGTAATAATCAAAGACTTATGCACCTTTCATATTTACTAATCCCAACTCACTCTAAATATACGAGTGGCAGTCATCATGTTTATTTTTTTGCGAGAAAAGGAGTTGATATTAAAACGGCCAAATTACTAAAAGGTCCACGCAGAAAAGGAAATTACAACCAAGCCCCTCTACAACCCGACTACGCATGCGCCGTGGACGAGCCGGTGACGCGTCGTTCGCTGCTGCTCGCTGACGCCTTGGATCGAAGCAGCCCCGGGCGAAACGGGAAGTCTCCAATCAACGGTCCCTGAGGACCTACACCCATGGCCGTCGTCGTCGTCGCACCGCTCAACATCGCCTTCCTTCTCCAAATCTTCAACCGCCGGAATCGCCATCCCTCGATCTCCGGCACGGGGGAACCGTGCATGGCCTTTCCACCGAGCAGCGAGCACGAAGAAAGGAGCTGTTCCACCGCGGAGCTCCACTGTAACGCCCCGAGACCGATGTGCCAGGTGTCTTCCAGTTATTCGCTGTTGTTGCCTTGTCATTGCTTGTGTGTCATGCATTCCATATCATGTCATCATGTGCATTGCATTTGCATACGTGTTCGTCTCATGCATCCGAGCATTTTCTTCGTTGTCCGTTTTGCAATCCGGTGCTCCTATGTCACCCGGTGTCCCCTTTTATCTCTTTTCGTGTGCGGGTGTTAAACGTTTTCGGATTGGACCGAGACTTGTCATGCGGCCTTGGTTTACTACCGGTAGACCGCCTGTCAAGTTTCGTACCATTTGGACTTCGTTTGATACTCCAACGGTTAACCGAGGGACCGAAAAGGCCTCGTGTGTGTTGCAGCCCAATACCCTTCCAAAGTGGCCCAAAACCCACCTAAACCTCCTCCATAATCTAGAGCGTTCGATCACGATCGCATGGCCAAAAACCACACCTCATTTGGACACTCCTAGCTCCCTCTACCTATAAATATGTGCTCTCCTCCGAAAATTCCGCGCAGATCAAACCCTAGTCTCCCTCCTCCTCGCGCCACCGGACATGTCCGCTCCGCCGCCGGACGCGTCCACCCTGTCACCATGTCGCCACCGCCGCCTCCCTCCTCCACTCAGGCGCCGCCACCTGGCCCGAGCCGCCGCCTCTCCCGCGCGGGCCCGGGAGGCCCAGATCCGGCCCCCCCGGCCCGGTGTGCCGCGCCCGCCGCTGTTTCCCGTCGCCGGCCGTCCGCCATCTTGCTCCACCGCCGCGCCTCGCCTTGAACTGCGCCGGCCAACAAGTTGACCAGCGCCGCCCACGCCTCGCCGCCTGTGGCACCTCCGCCGCCTCCGATCGTGGCGTCGCCCAGGTCCATGTATTTTTGTGATCTTTGTGGTGACTAGCACAAGCATGCAAAGTAGCTTACTCAATGATGTTGTTTTCAGGGACTTAGAATTTCACTAAGTCCTTGTCATGATATTGTTTTTAGGCCATATGTTCATGTTGTTTCCTAGTGATCCGTGCCTCTTTTGAGGATGATCAGTAAGGATGTTTTGTTAATATTGTGGTGCTCTATCCATCCATGTCTTTGTTTGCATTTATGGAGCACCCTAGCTTGAGTCAATCAAGCTCTACTTTTTCTATAAAATGTTCCTGGCAGATTGTTAACATGTTTAGCGATTTTGCCGAGGTTGTTGCTATTGATCAGTGCATGCTATGATGTTGTTCTTGCCATGTCTAGCTTCTATGCCATGTATTATTGTTGGAAATATCCCCTAGAGGCAATAATAAATTAGTTATTATTATATTTCCTTGTTCATGATAATCGTTTATTATCCATGCTATAATTGTATTGATAGGAAACTCATATACATGTGTGGATACATAGACAACACCATGTCCCTAGTAAGCCTCTAGTTGACTAGCTCGTTGATCAATAGATGGTTACGGTTTCCTGGCCATGGACATTGGATGTCGTTGATAACGGGATCACATCATTAGGAGAATGATGTGATGGACAAGACCCAATCCTAAGCCTAGCACAAGATCATGTAGTTCGTATGCTAAAGCTTTTCTAATGTCAAGTATCATTTCCTTAGACCATGAGATTGTGCAACTCCCGGATACCGTAGGAGTGCTTTGGGTGTGCCAAACGTCACAACGTAACTGGGTGGCTATAAAGGTACACTACAGGTATCTCCAAAAGTGTCTGTTGGGTTGGCACGAATCGAGACTGGGATTTGTCACTCCGTGTAAACGGAGAGGTATCTCTGGGCCCACTCGGTAGGACATCATCATAATGTGCACAATGTGATCAAGGAGTTGATCATGGGATGATGTGTTACGAAACGAGTAAAAAGACTTGCCGGTAACGAGATTGAACAAGGTATCGGGATACCGACGATCGAATCTCGGGCAAGTATCGTACCGATAGACAAAGGGAACTGTATACGGGATTGATTAAGTCCTTGACATCGTGGTTCATCCGATGAGATCATCGTGGAACATGTGGGAGCCAACATGGGTATCCAGATCCCGTTGTTGGTTATTGACCGGAGATTCATATCGGTCATGTCTGCATGGTTCCCGAACCCGTAGGGTCTACACACTTAAGGTTCAATGATGCTAGGGTTATAAAGGAAGTTTGTATGTGGTTACCGAATGTTGTTAGGAGTCCCGGATGAGATCCCGGACGTCACGAGGAGTTCCGGAATGGTTCGGAGGTAAAGATTTATATATAGGAAGTCCTATTTCGACCATCGGGACAAGTTTCGGGGTCATCGGTATTGTACCGGGACCACCGGAAGGGTCCCGCGGGTCCACCGGGTGGGGCCACCTATCCTGGAGGGCCCCATGGGCTGAAGTGGGAAGGGATCCAGCCCAAAGTGAGCTGGGGCGCCACTTCCCCCTAGGGCCCATGCGCCTAGGGTGGGGGAAACCCTAAAGGAAGAGTCCTAGGAGGGGAAGGCACCTCCTAGGTGCCTTGGGGAGGAGGGATTCCTCCCCTTGGCTGCACCCCCTAGGAGATTAGATCTCCTAGGGCCGGCGCCCCCCCCCCTCCCCCCGCTTGGCCCTCCTATATATAGTGGGGAGATGGAGGACTTCTAACCTTTGCCTTTGGTGCAGCCCTTCCCTCTCCCAAGTCCTTCTCCTCTCCCGCGGTGCTTGGCGAAGTCCTGCAGGATTGCCACGCTCCTCCTCCACCACCACGCCGTTGTGCTGCTGCTGGATGGAGTCTTCCTCAACCTCTCCCTCTCTCCTTGCTGGATCAAGGCATGGGAGACGTCACCGGGCTATACGTGTGTTGAACGCGGAGGTGCCGTCCGTTCGGCACTAGGATCTCCGGTGATTTGGATCACGACGAGTACGACTCCTTCAACCCCGTTCTCTTGAACGCTTCCGCGCGCGGTCTACAAGGGTATGTAGATCCACTCCTCCCTCGTTGCTAGATGACTCCATAGATAGATCTTGGTGACACGTAGGAAAATTTTGAATTTATGCTACGTTCCCCAACAGTGGTATCAGAGCTAGGTCTATGCGTAGTTTCTATGCACGAGTAGAACACAAAGTAGTTGTGGGCGTTGATTTTGTTCAATATGCTTACCGTTACTAGTCCAATCTTGATTCGGCGGCATTGTGGGATGAAGCGGCCCAGACCAACCTTACACGTACGCTTACGTGAGACCGGTTCCACCGACTAACATGCACTAGTTGCATAAGGTGGCTGGCGGGTGTCTGTCTCTCCCACTTTAGTCGGATCGGATTCGATGAAAAGGGTCCTTATGAAGGGTAAATAGCAATTGGCATATCACGTTGTGGTTTTTGCGTAGGTAAGAAAATGTTCTTGCTAGAAACCCATAGCAGCCACGTAAAACATGCAAACAACAATTAGAGGACGTCTAACTTGTTTTTGCAGGGTATGCTATGTGATGTGATATGGCCAAAAGGATGTGATGAATGATATATGTGATGTATGAGAT